GGAATCAACTTGACAGCAACAGGTTTGGCTTGGCTTTTGGTGTGAGTACTGTATTATAGGAGGAGGTCCTACACGGTGCAAATGGTTAACATGCTAGGCCACCAACGGAAAAGTTGGAGGCTCAAGTCCACCCAGAGGTGCCAAGGAAAAAGGCCAGTGATGTACTTCTGAAAAATTATCCATTGAAAACCCAATGGAACAGTTCCACTCTGACACACTTGGAATTGTCATGAGTTGAAGTCAACTCCATGGCAACTGAGTTGATACTGGTAATATTATAGAATAGCATACAGTATTGGAATTCTAGTTCTGCACTAACTTGAGCATGTCTCTTAACCTAAATCTCAGTTTCCTTATCAGTATACTGAGAAAACAATAATAGCACTCACCCTCATCAGGTAGTGAGGAAGTTTAAATAAGAGCATGTAAAGCTGTGTACTCAAAAGTATGGTCTGCAGACCACTGCCTGTCCACAAACTGTTAGCAGTCTGCATCAAGATAATTACAGAAACAAAGAATAAGCACTTAACTGTCTTCTAGCATTTTGACAGTTTTACTTGTTGAATCTAATAATTTTTAAGTCATACAAAATTGTCCTTTTTTATTTCATTTTTCTAGTAACTATATTTTGCAAAAGTGTTTTTAGAAGTGTATCAACCTGCAATGACTTGGGTCCAAAAATCTACCTGGTCCTTCACCAAGGTAAAGAAGTACTAAGGTCAGGTACTCAGTTCTGAACACAAAGAACAAACCCCCAAAATATTAAATTCCTCCCCACCTATTGGACTCTATAGTCAATCGTTAAATGTTCACTAGGAGCCTTCTAGGCAAAAGATAGGACTTCCTGGCTGGTGCAGTTAAGCACTTGACTACTAGCCAAAAGGTTAGCAGTTCAAACCCATCCAGTGGTACCTCAGGAGACAGGCCTAGAGATCTGCTTCAGGAAGGTCACAGCCTTAAAAACTCTACATAGCAGTTCTATTCTGCACACAAGGGATCACTAAGAGTAAGAATCCATTCAACAGCAACCAACAAGAAGCAGCAAAAGAGAATGTGGTCAGTCACCATCCAAGTCAGTGTAGGCTTGTGTGTTGCAAAAATAAAAATAACATGGTACAATAAGGGTGCTAAAGAAATGAAAGAAATTTATAAATATGGCACATAAAAATATGGAAGAAATAATTTAAAGGACAAGGTAGTAAAGTTAAAGGAAAACAAACCAAAAATCCCACTGTCGTTGTGATCAATTCCAACTCAAAGTGACCCTATAGGACAGAGTAGAACTGCCCTATAAGGTTTCCAATGTTGTACATCTTTTATAGAAATAGGCTGCCACATCTTTCTCCCACAGTGGGGTTGCCCGGTCCCGAATGAGTGCTTTAACCACTGTGCTACCGGGATCCTTAATTTAAAGGGCAAGCTCTAGAAAAGTGATATTGTTTTTTTTTTAAAAAAAAGGTTCTACAGAATTAGGATTCCTGCATTGACCCACGTCACTTTAGTTTTGTGTATTTCACCGTACATAAATTATATTTCAATAAAATGTATAAAAAAAGAAAAAGAATTAGGATTCCTTTCAGGTTAAAATGGCTAAGGAGGTCCTGTCAGAGGAAGTGTGATTAGAAGTGGACCTTTAAAGGCTGCATAGGCTCAGTCAGCCGGGAGAAGGGACATTTAGGCAGAGAAGTGCCCTAGTAAAAGCAGAAAGAACCACTATGAATACCTGAGCCTAACAGGGAAGCAAACCCATCGCTTCCCGGAAGGAAGGTTGGGCAATCTACTTCCGTAGTGATACCGCCTCGGAAACCCAAGGAGGGTCGCTATGAATCGGGTCCGACTCGATGGCACATAACAGGGAAGCAATGGAGAGATGAGTTGGAATTAGCTAGGAAAAATTAAGGGAGCTTTAGAAAATCAAGCTGAGAGGGTCAGGACCAGACTGGGAACGGTCCTGTACACCTCACCAAGGATTTAAACTTGACTGTGGGTGGCCAGAATTGTTTTATTTTTAATCTACAAGACACAAATTGAGGTAACTGGTGGGAGCTCGAAGGGAGAGTAAAGAATTGAGACTCGAAGGAAGGAACTTAGTCACTGGCCGATGGTCCAGCTAACAAACCCAGGCACAGGCTGTGTTCTCACGCGATATTAGGGAGGGATGGAAAAAAATAAAGAACTCATTCGGTAAAAACCCAAAATAAGTGATCTGTGAATTCCGACCCCTGTTGGCCACCTGTTTTTTTCGTGTCTGAACTGGATAGGGGATTCCAATCTGGATAGGGAAATCTCTGGGATCTTCAGTTCTACTTTGAGGGCTCCAAGCCCCTTCCCGTCACAGCTCCACCCTCGCAGTAGAACCAAGCAGTGCATTGTAAAGTACTAAAACAGGGTGAAGAAAAGTGTTGATTAGGTCAAGTCTCCGGGAATGAAGGAGCGTCCACCTAACTCAGGACGCACGGCGAAGGACTGCGCCTACGCGCCTAAAACGCGCGCCCCGCCCCCTGTCTTTAAACCGAGTGGCGGGAGGAGGGAAGGCGAACTCGGCGCTCACGGAGTGCCTCTGCAGTATGGGAGGGACGCCGACCCCTCTCCGCGTAGAGCTCTCCTGCCCACGCTCTCACTCACCCACTCCCTGCGGGTCCTCGGGATCCCCGCGGAGCCAGCAACCCTCAAAAGGCCGGGTGCAACCTTTCCCGCCACCCGGCTCAGCTGTGCTGGTCTCCGCCTGTGTGCCGGGACGAGGCGGGGCGAACCGGGCTGGTCCAAGTGACCCTAAGTGGGCTAGGGGTTTGGTGATGAAGAAAGGAAAAGGAAAGCGAATACAAGTACTGTTTGTTTATCGGAGTGGATCTGCTACATTGAACTACAAAATAAAGCACTATGCCTTTAATGCTGACTTAAGATAATAAGAATCAAAGTCTTTTAGGAGTGAATTACAAACATTCTTCCCCTTTTCGTCTAGTGGACTATTCCAAAGTCTAAAGGTTAGAAAAGTTAGATTTTATTGGGAGAACGTGAAGAGATGAAGGTGAGAAATGGTCTCTTTGCGGGGCGGGGGGCGGTCTGTCAGCCTAATAGGAGTCCTGGTTGCGCAGTGGTTGAGCGCTCGGCTGCTAACCAAAAAGGTCAGCGGTTCAAATCCACCAGCTACTCAGCGGGAGAAAGACGCAGCTTTGTACTTCGTAAACATTTACAGCCTAGGAAACTCTATGGGGCAGTTTTAGGGCAGTTTTCATCTGTCTTATAAGGTCGCTGTGAGTCAGAATCGACTTGATGGCAATAGGTTTTGCTTTTGGTTTGGTCATCCTATAGAGATCATGTTACTGGGTTGCTTAGTTGCTGTAAATTCCGATTCATGGCCACCCCATATGTGCGGAGTAGAACTCCCTATGATTTGGTGGTGCAGTTAATGTGCAGAGCTGATAAGGGAAAGGTAGGATGTTCAAGTCCACCGCGAGGCACCTCTGAAGACGGGCCTGGTCATCTCTAGTCATCTACTTCTGAAAAATCAACCATTGAAAATCCTGTGGAGGGCAACCAGTAATAAAATTGGAATTTCTAAAAAAAAAAGAAAAAGAAGGAAAGAAAATAAAATCCCCTGGAGCACAGTTGTACTCTGATACACATAGGGTAGCCATGACTCAGAGTCCACTGAATGGCAACTGGTTGGGTTTGGTTTGGTTGGTCATACTGTAGGCAAGGCACAGGCTGAAAGCTTGAGAAGTATGCAAGAGATTCATAAAAGCAAGAGATCAACAGTAAGTATTCATGGGTCAGTAGAGGGTCTCCTCCACCTCTGCTGAAATGAGTGTATTTTGCCAACAACAAAAGAGGATAAGACTCAAAGGGATGATTATCTCCTGAATTATTAAGCATTTGAATAAAAGGAATCAATTTCTGGGGTATGAAGGAGTTAGAAAACACTTGCTTTGAGATGAAAGGACAGATGAGAGAAAATATGATACACACAAAAAGGAAGACAAAGAAGACTACAGAACTAATGATAAAAGCAGAAAGATAACATTTTCAAAAGTGTTTTGATTTGTTCTGACTATATTAAAATCCTGAGGGTCAAAGCCTCTCTCTTTCCTAGATGAAATCCTCCCTCCCTCCCCTTCCCAGTTTGCTCCAGGCATCAGGTTTCCTGTTTTGACCTCTGGGAGCTCTTCTGGGGTTTAAGTATCACAAACCAGGAGGCCATCTGGGGGCTGTCAGGCAGAATTGCTAAACTGCTTAATTTTTCTAGATTCTAGATTTACCTGTCCCATATTTAAGGTTGGCAGCTTGCTGGCCCAAGGCCTCTGAAGACATCCATCATGCCAGAATGAACACACAACCCAGCCAGTGGATGTAGATAGGTTTGTAGAGCTTTAAAGAACAGCTCAAACCCCAGTGTTCACTTTTCTCAGAGCTACTTCCACCCAAGTCCCTGGGGCAAGCATCCCTGAGAAAGTAGGCTATACTCTTCCATTAACTTCTCCATAACTTTTTGGTCCACTTGAATCCTGATCTAGGGCTTATACCTCCATTCCCCAAACACCACTGCCTTTGCCCTCACTCACACTTCTGTGAGCCTTAGTCCAGAGAAATATTGAGCCCATTCTCCCAGCTCTTGAAATGCTTGTCTCCTACATCTGCCTCCTGTGAGGAGTGACTTCCAGCTTGCCTGCTCCATCAGAAATCAAGAGCCGTATACTTAACTGGCAGGAGGGTAAAGGCCAGGTATTTGAGGTCTCAGTTCCCTGTGCTCACCACGCTGGGTTGGGGGAAGAAAGTTTAGGATGATACCTCTCCTCCCTTCCCTAACTCTCATGCCCCAAAACTCAGACACAGCCACACTCACTCACATTCATATGTACAATCATGCACGCATACGGCAGCCACGGAAAGTAGGGTGGGGAGGAAGGGACGTTTCACCGACCAGCTCATGAATGCAACTTGAAAGATTTCACACAGCAAAAGGAAAAACACGCACACACACACATAAATTAAAAAATAAAGAAGTACATGTCCCTCCCCACAGTCTCTTCATCCAGGGGCTGGCTCAGCCCCTCCACGTAAACCCAGAAGCTTCCCTCTATCCAGCTGGAGCTTTTACAAGGCCTGGGTCTTCAGTTCAACGGGTTCCCCCGTGCCCTCTGGTTGTGCATTCGGGTCACTGGGTCTGGATCCCTTGAGGACAGACAGTCTCTCAGAAACACTCTTGAGCCGAGGGAAGAGGAGGAAGTCATAGAGAAGGCTGCCTAGGCCCCCTCCAATGATTGGGCCCACCCAGTATACCTGTAGAAAGAGGAAAGGTATACTCAGGCTTGGAGAGGGCAACAAGAACAAGGCTACTCTCTCCACCCACCTCAGTGGAAAACAGACATCTTGGTCTTGGTATATAAAATCGGACATTATCTAATCTAAGTAGGAAATCAGTGTGTGTTTGTTTTAAACCCTAGGCTTTCACTGCCTGAACCTCAAAACTCACCATTTCTTTTTGATTCATCAAAGCATTTCTTTACCCCATATCTTCTTAAAAACTCAAACTACACTCACTGCCATCAAGTCGGGTCTAACTCATAGCCACCCCCGTTGGCTTTCCGAGATAGTATCACTACGGAAGTAGATTGTCCAATTTTCCTTCCAAGGAGTTGCTGGTAGGTTTGAACCAGCCTTCTGGTTAGCAGTCAAATGCCTTAGGCACTACGCTCCCTCATATCTTCTTAGCACATGTATATTCTACTTGTTATTACCAATTTGCACTAGTTTATATATTGCTTTGAAAATTTAGGGAATTATTTTCAAATGTATAGTTTGCATATGGTTGACAACGTAAACGTAGCCAATATTTATTGAGGACTTACTTCACACCAGATTCTATGCTAAATGTTTCACACTTAGAACTTTCACATTTACTTATCATAATATTGCTCTTCACAGTTGAAGAAGCTAAGGCTCAGAATGGATGAGTTACTTGCCCAAGGTTACCCACAAGGTTAGAAAATGCTAGAAATGGGACGGACCCAGTGTCATCTATGCTGTCAACACATCCTTATCTCTGAGATGTTAAATTTTGTGTTATGTTCAGTTGTGTGGCTTCACAGACCTAGTTTTGGCCTCCAGTGAGTACTTAGCAAAAATCCTTTGATTAATTCAGAGAAGGAACAATATGAGCAAGAGCTTCTCTTTCCAGCAAAATAATGAGCCCTGTTCACAAAGACATGCCAGGCTTTCACAGCCCGCTTGGTTGAAGTGCTGGTAGAGCAGCCAACACACCCAGATGGAAAGCGGAATCAAACCTGGAACCTGCAGCCCACACCCACCCAGCAGTGCTTCAGGACATCACTCTCTCCTCACTCACCCAGTGGTTGGTGAAGTTTCGGGTGAGAATGGCAGGAGCAAAGGAGCGGGCAGGGTTCATGCCTGCACCAGTATAATATATCTGCAAAAGATACAGTTGTAACTGAAACACACACATAGCCCAGTTTCTTTCCCCATAACCCACTTTGCCCCTGAGAACTGGTATACCTTGCCTTCAGCCAATAGTAAATGGGGAAGGACAACCTGCATGACCCTCTAAGGGTATCCAGAGTCAGGTGAGGACACAGATGCCTTATCTGGGGATACTATAGACACAAAGACAAAACCCACATCTACCTGTGACTTCCATCTTGGAGTCAAGACCAAAAACTCACTGCTATTGAATCAGACCCAACTCATAGTGACGCCTCCTTGGGTTTTCGAGGCAGTATCACTACGGAAGTAGATTGCCCAACCTTCCTTCCAAGGAGTGGGTTTGACCCGCCAGCCTTCTAGTTAGCAGTCAAATGCCTTAGGCACTATGCCACCAGAGCTCCTAAAGGACTACATATAACGGTCACAGAGAGAGGAATAGGGCAGGGTTGATTGGTTTGTGGCCAATCACAGGCAATACAGACTGAGGTGGATAATGGTCATGTTTGACAGTAAGTTAGGCAGGGAGCACTCTGGGGATTTAAGAAAGGTTTTTGGGCCCTGGAATTCTTGAATAAGAAGTTGTTCCCATCTTCTGCTTACCCCAAAGAGGTGCCCCAGGGTGAGGGAGAAGCCAATGGCCAGGGCCACTGAGCCCAGACGGCCATTCCGCCTCTCATCATATGTAGCAAAGATGCAGAGCACGAACTGGAGTGTCAGGAAGATCTCCACCATGGTGGCCTGGCCCACACTCACCCCAGGATGCAACTGGGCAAAGGAAGAAGAAAGGAGGCAGCTCATTAGGGCTACCACAGCCTTACCTCCTCAAGGTTTCCCAGGCAGGGTTCCCCTCATGGCATCAGTTCCCTGGAGAAGATGGATGACACAACCCCCTTCATAGTAGTTGTATATGTATCTTATTTCTTCTAACAACACTCCTTCAAGGTGATATAATTGCACCAACTTACACATATGGGAAAACTGAGCCCCTCTAAAATTAAATAAGTTTTTCAAGACCCTGCAAAGGGTTGGAAGGAAAGCTGGGACCTGAATTTAGATTTGTTGATTTTCAGTCTATGACTCTCTGCCTTCCTTACCCCATATACTACCTCTTGATTCTCCCTACTCTGAAACACACACACACACATCCCAGATCCCCAAGGAACTGATCCACCCACCCTAGGCAGGAAGTCAGGGCACCAGGCTCCCCCAACCCCTCTCAGCCCACCATTACCGTGTTAAGTGCTAGATTTCCTCGGACGGCAGGTGGGGTAACACTATACAACATGGCAGCCCCAGTCACGGCTCCCAGGAGCTGGGCTGCCATGTAGCAGAAGGCACGGAGCAGAGACATCTGGGAGCCCACAAGGAAGGCAAAAGTGACTGCAGGATTGACATGGGCTCCACTGATATGGCCCACAGCCTGCACCAGTGTAGCCAAGGCCAGGCCAAAGGCTATGGCCACTTGCAAGACATGCAAGGGGCCAGGAGACCAACGCAGTGAGGCCCCCAGACCTAAGAAGACATAGAAGAGGGTACCAAAAAACTCAGCAAATATGGCCCTCCAGAAGGAGGCTGACCGCAGTTCCCACATGGCACGGGGGATGGGCACAATGCCTGGGTTCCTGAAACCCCTGGCTTATCTGTGTAGATAGTCCCCTTTATAGAGGACTCTTAATCCCTGGGAGGGGCAGACTGAGGTGGCTGGCCCAGCCTCTTAACCCCTTCACAGATAGGGAGAACTGGGCCCACTCCCATAACTCTGGTAAAGCTGTTGGATTTTTCCTTTCTCTTCAACTGGGAGATAAACAGAGCCATTGGTAGTGGTATGTATGGGGGTGTTATTCAGAGCTGGAGAGGCTCTGGAGGGCAGGACCAAGACAGGGAGATGGTCTTCCCTTCAAGTCAAATTTGAGGACAAAGTCCTGCTTGATATCTATGTTAGAACATTCCTCAATTCTGCTTGGAGGTCAGTCAAGCTGAGTTCACTACATGGGGTATGAGGCTGTAATCCTGGGGGCCTCTAGGCTCCTCTAGATGCCAGGGATAAGGGTGGGGGTGGGGTCAGGAGTGGGGTCTGGCAGGCAAGTTGGATAACTGAAGAGCATTCTTTAGTTCCCTGGGATTAGAGAGCCTTCTCCCATTGGCTGGTTTGGGCTGGAATCTGTGGATCCTGCAGCTCTGGAACAGAATAGTTCTGCTGTGTCTGGCTTTCTCTGAGTCCAGGATTCCCCACCCCCAACCCATGCCAGTACCTCACTTTCTAAACTCTCAACCTTGCCTTTTAGACCACAGAGAGAGAGACAGGTGGAAGAAGCTATCTTCTATGTATGCACTGAGGGTGGAGTGGGAATGTTGGGCAAAGGGCTCAGTAGTTAAACCTCAGAATCAGTTCATATTTCATCTTTCTTAACTCCCAAGGCCATAGCATGATGTAGTAAAAGGAAGGAAACTGAGTCATGGCTATGAAGCAATTAAATGAGAAGATCTAATGTCCCCTGGGAGCTGTGGTAGCGTAGTATCTAAGGCACTTGACTGCTAACCAGAAGGCTGGCGGTTCAAACCCACCAGCCACTCCTCGGAAGGAAGGTTGGACAATCTACTTCCGGAGTGATACTGCCTTGGACCCCAAGGAGCAGTTGCTATGAGTTGGGTCTGACTTGATGGTACATAACAACAACAACAACAATGCCCCCTAGTATGGCTATGACCAAACAGGAGTCCTAAACCCTAGATCTTGTCCCAGGTCATGAGGACAGCATCCATAATTCCCAGGGAAAGGTCTGGGGTGGTCTGGGGAAGCAGACTGGTTAAGGAAAGAAAAAAGGACAAGATGGAAAAGGAAAGCTTAGGGAAAGGAGGTTCAGTTGTGCTCAGGCTTGGTGAGGGAATTCCCACTAGTCTCCCAGCCCTCTTCTCCTCAGCTTCACCCTGCTTCTCTCCAGCCAGACCTCAACCTCATAATTCTGAACCTGCTCATTCCCAAGCACTCCATCTTGGAGGAATGAAGAGGAAATGAAGGAGAGAATAAGGGAGTGGTCAGAGAATAAGCCATTACCTGGTTGGACTGGGATGTAGCAGTCGAGAAGAGGAAAAGTATGAGATTTCAACAGCAGAAGGATGGAATGTAGAGAAAAAGATAGTGATTTCTCCTCTCTTCAGGGATCTTAATTCTCAGATGACCATCTTGCTGTCCTGGTCCAGCATGTCTGTTGGATGTTCTGCTCCCGTTTGGAGTCTGCTTTTCTAGGTCTAGGTGAATGAAGGTGGGAGCAAGTGTTTCAGGTGCCTCCCCTGGACAGGAGGCCATCGGAGAAATGAGAGCCCCACTCCTCTGACCAGTGAACAAGTCTTACCTCCTTTCAGCCAACAGAAAGCTCTTGCTTCCATCTTCCATCCCAACTCCCAATCAGTGGTCTTCCCAGGGGCACCTTAGACACTTGTACTTACCCCATTATCATCCCTAAGTATCCATTCTTCCTAGCCTTACTTAGCTCCCTTTCCTCTTCGACCACACTTTCTTCCTCTTTAGCTCTTTCACTCCAAATTCACTGGGTTAGGGACAGCAGCTGATAATGGCTTCTGTCAACCAGAAACGCTAATATTGAAGACAGAGGCTCATCCTTCAACTCCCTGATCATCTTTATGAACTTGGATTTCAGGAGCCAGAGTGGGTAAGAGGAAAGCTAAAGTGAGGATCTGGAAGGCAACAAGAATTCCAGAGAAGGCAAGATAAGAATACCTCCATGCCTCACCCGAAACACAGTAAACCAGGGAAGAGACACCAGTACTGCCTTGGTGACTGGGCCATTGGACTCTGAAGAGGAAGGGGCTTAAGAGAATTGCCTGGGAGTGCAGGGGATTCCTGGGGTCTAACACTTCTGTGATTAGACAAGAGTCACCCCAAATCGTCTTTGTCTTTTATTTTTTTCCTGGCTAATTTATGTCCCACCACCTCTTTTTTTTTTTTTTTCTTTCCTGCTGTTACTCCATTTCATTCTTTTCTATTATTTATTTATTTTATTGTGATTTGGGTGAAAATTTACAGAGCAAATTCACTTTCCATACAGCAGTTCACATACACTTTGTCTCATGACATTGACTACAATTTACCACAATGCAACAGCTCCCCTCCCACATCCTCCCGATAATTACCTCTTCCCTGTGTCCATCCCGCCATACACTCCTGTCCCCTGAGCTGTCTCCCTGTGCATAAGCAGCCCTTCTTTCTCCCATGATTGTTCTCTCCAAGGAGTTTATCTACCTCAGATGAATGTTGCATTTCATTCTTGTTTTTTAGATTTTTTTCAGGAGTTAGAAAAAAATTTACCTGTAGATTCTCCAACTTTCTCCCTGCTGGCCTTAAGAAAGCATACAAAAATATTTTTGAAGTTTTTCTCTGCTAGGAACTATAGAAGTGGAAAAGAATTTATGAAATAATAAAAATGGGGATATTTACAAAGCTATTATAAGTCTTAAAGAAAGTTATTGTAGTTGTAATTACCTTGGAGTTTCATTTATCTCTATATTTAACTGAGTTAACTCTCTTTTTTTTAAGTATAGAATTCAGTGACATTTAATTACATTCACTATATTATATTCCCATTACTACTGTCCATTTCTAAAAGTTTTATGTCACCACAAACAGAAATTCAATACCCCTTCACCAGTAACTCCCATTTCCTCCTCCCTATAGCACTTGACTAACTAACTCACTGCCATCGAGTCAGATCCAACTCGTAGTGAGTGACTCCTCCTTGGGTTTCTGAGGCAGTATCACTATGGAAGTAGATCACCCAATCTTCCTTCCGAGGAGTGGCTGGTGGGTTTGAACCACTAGCCTTGTGGTTAGCAGTTGTATGCCTTAGGCACTATGCCACCAGATCTCCCACCTAAGCACTTAGTAGCCACTAATAAACTTTTGTCTCTATGCATTGGCCTGTTCTAGATATTTCATAAAAGTGAGATCACACAGTATTCATCCTTTTATGCCTTTTAGCATAAATATTTTCAAGATTCATCCATGTCACAGCATGTATCAGCATTAATTCCTTGTTATGACTGAATAATATTCCATTGTATGTATATATCACATTTTGTTTCTCCATTCATTTATTGATGGATGCTGGAGTTATTTCCACTTTTTGGCTGTTGTGAATAATGCTGCAGTGAACAATTGGTGTACTTGTATCTGTTTGAGTCCCTGCTTTTAAGTTTCTCAGGTGGAATTGCTGGATAATATGCTAAAACTGTGTTTTTTAATTTTGTTAATGATTTATTTTTTGTTAAAAATACACACTACAGAACATATACAAATTCAATAATTTCTACATGTACAGTCAGTGACATTGATTGTATTCTTCAAGTTATGCAACCATTTTCACTCTCATTTTCTGAATTTTTCCTCACCACTCCCTAAATAAAGTCAGTGCTCCCTAAATTTTCTATCTAAACTTTCAAGTTGCTGTAGTCAGTTTAATCCCATATAGATAATTTTTAAAAAGAGCATAATGCTCAAGGCAGACATTAAAAAAAAAAAAAAAAATTACTGTGATTTGGGTGAAAGTTTCCAGAGCAAATTCATTTTCCATACAGCAGTTCATACACATTTTACTTCATGACATTGACTGCA